GATCGATTTCTTATGGGAATATCGATCGATGCAGCTAGTCAAGCGTTTCACGTGAGTTAACAAAGACTCACTATGGATCCCTAGATCAAACTTTCGCTCTATTCCCAGTAAAATCCTAGCTTAATAAAGACGTGTTCAAGACTATCAGGGTTATTCAAAGATATTTAAACAACCTAACAATCCTAGATTCAGGTTTCTAGTTAGCAAGTCTAGAACATAAGCATTAAGAACATCCTATTAATGAATACCACAACAAGTGATCCTATAGTTGTGGCTGATCCCACTAACCTATTTAAACCCTAATTCTAACAAGTGAATTTCTCAGATATGGCTAAGCAATTCATAACACAAGCAAAGTAATAAAACTACATAGTATAGATAGATAGAAAACAATGGAGTTCCAATCACAAATCTCTCTGTTGATCTTCTCTCCCAAACTAAAACCTTAAAACCTTTTGCTGTGAAAAGAATACAAAAAGCTCTCTCTGCCTCTAACACTTTGGCAGAGTATATAAACTTAGGTTAAAACTCGTCAGGGGTAAAATCGTCATTTGGTAATGTTTGGGCTTAAAGTTGGCTTGTCTCGCGAATTGGTCTCTGCGCCTTTGGCATCGATTCATCATGCTAAGTGCATGTCGATTGACGTGAGTCACTCCATGTTGACCTCGATCGTTGTGGTCGATTCCAACTACGAGTGATTTCTCCAATATTCTCTAAAATGTTCCAAAAACATCACTTTCCTCCAAAATACTCCTGACCTATAAATATGCTTAAAAGCTTCTATAATATAATAACTAGTAGTAAAACAACAATATACCATGACTTAAAACGGGTCAAAATCATAGTCTATAACCAAGCAAAGATCTGTCCACCAAAGCTTTGTTCATCATGTGTGATAAGACCTCCGCACATAAAATAAAAAGATATGGGGAAAGAGGATCTCCTTACCTAATCCCTCTCCTTGGTTTAATTTATCCTTCAGGCGACCCATTAATCAGCACAGAGAAAAACACTGTATTTACACAGGCCATTATCCACTGGATCCACTTAGAATGAAATCCCATTTTCCTCGTGGTTTCTTCTAAAAAATCCCATTCAAATCTGTTATATGCTTTGGTGATGTCAGATTTGACCGCCATGTAGGAAGTTGCTTGTCTTTTTCGTGCTTTGAGACAATGAAATACTTCATGTCCAATAATGATATTACCCATAACAACACGATCAGGAATGAAAGCTTGATGATTCTCTGTTATGAGGCTACTTAGATGCTTCTTGAGTCTGTTAACCAGCACTTTCGAGATCACCTTATACACAACATTACAGAGTGCTATTGGCCGGAAATCAGTCATACCTGATGGAGGATATATTTTAGGAATCAAGCAGATGTTAGTGTGGTTTAGTTGTTTGTCCAGCTCTCCCGTTTCAAAAAATTTCTGAACTTCTTTCACTATATCTATATTCAACTCATCCTAATATTGATGATAGAAAATAGCGGAAAAATCGTCTGGTCCTGGAGCTTGGTGAGGGCCTATATCAAACATAGCTTGTTTAAATCTCTTCCTCTGTAACTTCCTTTATGAGATCAGAGTTAATGTCTTCTGTTACTTTGCTCTGAAACCCATTGAAGACTCTTTCATATAAACCCGCTGAAGTAGGTGATGAGGTAAAGAGATTGCAAAAGTACTCTTGTGTCACTCCCCCAATATTTCGTTGACCTCTGTGAGTCACACCTCCCAAATCTTGTATAGAAGAGATTTTTTTCCGGTATTTGTTACCCGTAGCAATGAGATGAAAATAAGGAGTATTTCTGTCACCTGATCTTAGCCATTGACTCTACTTTTCTGCCTCCAATAAATTTCTTCCTCCTGATATGCTTGGTCCAACTCCTCTTTCAGTTTTCTTTTCTCTTGTGTAGTAGCCGAATTCGTTGTGAAGACATTATCAAGACGCCCCTTGATAAAATTATATTTTTCTTTGCATTGCATTTATGACTCCGTTTCCAACGAGATATTTATTATCTGCATCTTCTTATTCTCTCCGCCAAAGGGATATCAATCAGTTGAGCTTGTCCCATTTCCCTCCAACCACGGTGTATAGTGTCGGAGAAACCCTCTTTATCCTTTATTCGAAAATAAAATCAGAATATTCTCCTTGGTTCCTCTTTTTCGGCCAGAATATGAGTTAAAAAGGGGTCGATGATCAGATTCTCCAATTTCCAGAAATTCAGTTTCTGCAGCAGGAAAATCTTCTAACCACTCTTTATTTGCCATCGACCTATCCAAGCAACATTGAACTTCATGAATGCCTCTCTGACCTATCCAAGAGTATCTGTTGTTATTTACTTTGATTATTTTGATTATTCAAGAAGAGCAACATTTTCTTTATTGAAATTTATTTTGATTATTTTTCTCTTGTTTTCTATTATTGTGATAAAACAATATTTACGGTTATCCTATAGTATTTCTTTATATTAATCTATTTCATGCAAAAATATAAGTTATAAACACATCTGAACTCCCACTCTATTAAGTTTTGAACAAAACAAAACTCCCACAAGATCAATGTATTTTTCTAAAATGAATTAACAAATAACACATTTTATTTACAAAGATCACTTAAACTAAATTTATACTTAACTGATTTAATTTCTCACCTTAAATTTTGATCAACATAAATTCACATTCTTCATCAAATAAGCAAAATGAGTATATTTTTGTTTTAAGTTTAGGAATATAAAACTTATTATATGACCTAAACATACTATGCTTACAATATAACAAATAAAAGATAATTTCAACAGCTACATGTGAACATAAATATTACACAATTTCCAAGAGAACAAAACAAATATGGTTTTTTTATGAATCTGAATGTGACACGTGTCACATTAATGTTCATCTTCTTCATATCATTTTTTTTTGCAATTCAGCCGAAACTTTCGACCCTTATATCTCTCAGAATACGCAATAAAATTTTACATATAATATATCAACAGCAAGATAATTCCAAGTTCTAAGCACAGACATCAAAAACATGCAATTTAAATCGAAAGATATAGATATATGATCAAAACAATATTTCTAGTTTACTAACTATTTCTCTAAATTCATGCGATATATTCCGGTTCTAAATGCAGTAATTTCCAGAAGAGTTCATGACATTATGATGAACACATGAGCAAAGTTTCAATTCATTTCATCATGTATTCATGGATTCACATTTTAATTATTCTAAGCATTAAACTTTTTTCTTAATTCTTTATAAATGGACTCAAGTAACCCATATTACTTTTCATCCTTGATTACTTACAAATGTTAATATGCCAGAACTATAACGTGCATATGCTTCTGAACACTATCCAATTACAAATCATAAACAATTCTGCGACGGTCTCCAGCATATAACATATAACCCGTGTCTCCAAAAGAACCTTCAATGCTTAGTATATAAAACAAACACACACATATAATGCTTTCTGCAGGCACATGGAACTACTTCTTACTTCTCTCTCATTGGTATATGTAATACTAAAAAAAGGAGAAGGAAAGTGACATCTAAGATAAAAGCAGAACATGTTTCTATATATTCTGAAACTAAAGCATTTACAATTTCACGGCCTAGTTTGTTCCTGAATCAGCTCTAAACCAAAAGATAAAATCTATACGAGAAACTAACTATTAGTCATCACAATTACCAAACAAGCAAAACACTTTCCTGCAACAACACAATTAAAAAAAAAAAATCAAATTTTTACAGAAAAGAAAAGTTGGAGTCTTTCTCTACTGAAACACTTTCTACAAAGATAAATAGTGCTCTCTCCATTCTTAAACCTGATGAATCCTTAAAGAAATGGGTTCCACTTGCATTAATAGCACTAGCAGATACCTTCATATCACTATTAACCCAATGATGTCCCATATTATCATTTGCCCTGCCGGAAGCAGGTAAGTGTTCACTTACCATTAATTTTGATAAAGAAGTAGTTCTAGAAAAACAAAGGTCAACCAAGCAATACAATTAGCCAAATCATAGTTGAACAGGGGACTGCAGTCCCTGTTAAAAATCACTTAACCTTAAATAATGATGAGGTAAATAAATTTTCTTTGCAAGACTACTTAAACCTTGGCAGGACCTATTCCAATAGATCAGCCATTAAATTATCAGAAGATGAAACAAGAAAACCCGAGCTTAACCTCGAGTACCATACTCTGATACGTAAAAACCCATTTTGTGGATCCATCTCAGAACATCCACATGAGCACATCGAAACCATTGAAGAATTAATTATGGACGATTACAACCGCTGTAAATTTTTTTCCTTCTCTCTAGAAGGTGATGCAAGAAAATGGTTTGATCAATTACCAACAGGTTAGAGAACCTCTTGGGAAGAGATTAGAAGTGTTTTCATTAATCACTTCTTCGATGAGGCTCGCCACTGAGATGTTAGGAAGAAAATCTCTACTTTCCACCAGTATCCGCGGGAATCTTTTAAAAATGCTTGGGAAAGATTCAAGGATTATCAGCTTGAATGCCCCTACCATGGCTATTCTGATCCCCAACTCTTTAACTTCTTCTATAGAGGTGTTAGCCTTCGTTACCAAACCACGCTTGATACAGTAAGTGAAGGAAATTTCAGCACCAGAAACCCTGAAGAAGCGAAGCATTTGATTAAAAACGTGGCAGCTGATAAATCCTACACAGTGATGGACATTAGAAGAAAAAGAGGAGTCAAGTCAGATGATGAACCGCAGATGTTTGTAATCAAAGCATAACCAATTTGGAGCATTCCAAATTGACGATAACGTCCTATCAGATTTAGAGGAACAAGTAAATTCCATAGAATATATAAATCAACAAAAGCAGCAATCGGACCCATACACTGATAGTTTTACCGGGTACTATGACGCTACTGTAGGATCGCGTAGAGATAAGGAACGATTTAAGATAAACTAAGCCTTCACAGGGAATCGAAGAATGGCCGCTGACTGGTGGAGTTGGAAATGGAAGGATGCACAATGCTGGAGATTCTTCCAACTGATGTCAACTTGTCATCTCTCGAACCCCTTCTTCTCAGTGGGTGCTCAAGGTTGAGAAGGTTTCTTCAGATTTCAAAAAGTATTGCAAGTCTCTATCTAGATGACACCGCCATTGAAGAAGTTCCCTACTGCATAGAGAAATTCTGGAGGCTCTCTGAACTATCAATGAGTGGTGGCAAGACGTTGAAAAATATCTCTCCATACATTTTCAGATTGAGAAATCTTAAGGTAGTAGACTTTTCAGATTGTGGAGAAGTCGTCACGACACTGAGTGATGTCAGCATCCTAGCAACAATGTCAAGAGAGGATCACCATTATTTGAAAACACTGAAGAGCGTTATAAAGATGACGCGGAGATAGACTGGGCCGGTTTTTCAAGAAATTGAGAATATTTAAAGTTCAATAATTGCTCTAAACTGGATAAAGATGCATGGGAACTTATCATACAATCATACTTGAAGCGTACGGTCTTACCAGGGGGAGAAGTGCCTGCGTATTTCACGCATCGAGCTGCTAGAAATTCCCTAACTGTTACTTTACCTCAGAGCTCTCTTTCTCAAGACTTCTTGGGATTTAAGGCTTGCATAGCTGTTGAACCACCGAAAAAAGCCGTAACACATTGTGTACGAATGGGGTTGCACTGGTATTTTAGAGGAAGTAGCAGTGTATATCATTGTATGGCTGACGCAAGCTCATTTAAGATGGATGAGGATCATTTTGTTATGTTACACTTTGGTTTCTCTCTAGAAGATGTCATTCATATTTCATTTGAGCTAGGCTGTATCCATGTGGAGTTTGAGTATTGCTACCACAATGGTGCTTGTTCTTACACATATGGGCCTGAAAGCCACACGCAACTTTGTCTCTTGTCGCACAACATGATAAAAGGGTGCGGTTTACGGCTCTTGAATCTCTCCGGATCTCCATATGGTGTTGCTAAAATCCCTGAAACAGAGTACGGCCAGCAGTCTGGAGAAAGCGAGAGATGAGTGGAATTGAAACAGATACTTGATTTTATTATGCAGATGATGGTAAGAACATTTGAAGAACCTTCCAGATTACTATGTGGCAAAACAGTAGCATACACAAGCTCGAGGGCTCCAAATTTGGAGTTTTCCTTAGCGCAGGGTGAAGCTTCCTTAGACCAGATGTCGTTGAGAAGTATGATACCATCTTCCTCTGATTCTTTAAGCAGGTTTCATGGAGATGGAGAATTGTTGCGTCTTTCCCTTTCTCTTCTGAACCATGTTTCAGAGAAGCTTTGTGTTTTGATCCCATGATAACAGAACAACAAAACACAGATACACCCTTTATGGATAAGTTGTCGTCTCGCAGCTTACTACATTTTTAAGGCAAGTGAACCATCTTACAAACTCTTTTTGCTCTATTTAGGATCAACTTGGGTTCTACTATAACGGTAGTGGTAGTGTCAAGCTGATTTTATAGAGATTTTCACACAAGGAATTTTCTCTTGCAGTTGATGGAGGACTTTCGGAGAACCAAAACCCTACTAGTTTGCCTGAGAATTTTTATAGTATCTTCTTCTGCAGAAGATAGAAGGCCGAAGCACTCTGTTCAAAGACGTATATATGATATATCTTTAAATTCTTAAGTTAACTACAAAAAGTGTTGGAACTAGTTTTAAATAGCAAGCCCCTCTTCATTATTATTAACACCTACACCTTGATCACTGAGAACCTTAAATAAAGTAGCGCAAGGTGGGTGTGTATCTCAGGAGAGCTGTTAGAAATATGGGAATTGGTGAGTAGAGGAAGAGCAGACCATAGACAACAATGAAATTGCTGTTACTCGGACTTCACTGAAGCAAAAGGTGACTTCAGAGATGGGTTAGGCCCTGGTGGTGTGAGAAAGAAGTCGATGTTATGACGGTTATGGAGGCGTTACAAGATAGGATGAAGGATGGGACGAAATACCGAGCTTTGAGGTGTAAAAGAGAGACAGCATCTTTTGAGTCTTGCCAGATCTGTCTAGCTTCAAACGCGTGTGCACAACGTTGGCCAGAGCTTCTAGACGAAAGAGATGGATTTTAAGGCGAAATGAGGAGAGAGATAAGAAGAGATGCAAGACCGAGAGAGTAATAGTTATGAAGGAAAAGATTGGGATAAGATGTGTTGGTTTTTGAAGAGAATCATGAAGGAATCAAGGAGTGTTGTGGTGATCCTGGTAGATGCAGCAGGTCGCTTTACTTCAACATGATTTTCTAAGGAGCATATGAACCAGCTTAAGCTTTGAAACGTAGTAGATATTATGCTTCTAGAGAATTTCTTGTGTGAGGTCTGTGAAAAAGAATATAAGCATAACACTTTTAGCAACTCAGAGAATCCATACAAGAGTATAATCATCTTTATGTGGGTATTCACAAGTTTTTCAGAGTGATATAAAAGAATTGACACTTTCAGCAGTTATTACAAGATAGAAATATGAGACAATATTTGGTTCAGACAACAGATAACATGAGTATGGTCTTGTCTGCCTGAAACATGTTTAGTAAATAAGAAGACACGACTAAAAAAGTGTTAATCTAAAGGAAGTAAGCAATCAAGAGTCATTTCCTACCAAAAACAAGATAGTAAGCAATCAATGAGAATAAACATGTGTAAGTTGATTTCCATGTCCTATTATATCATGAATTAAGTAGTGAAATAGTAAAATGCAAGTAATGTGCAACCTAACATTTCTTTAAATTCCTCTGCTTACCTTATCCTTAGGCTCTTTCTGCTTCTCCACTTCAGCAGTGTTCTCCTTGTTAGCATCAGCAGCTACATCATCAGCAGCAGGATTCTCCATAGTGTCTTTCTCAGTCCCAGCCCCAGCAACTTCTTCAGTCTCGCTAAAAGAGATACGAAGACCTTTTTAGTCCAAATTCAGAATCACTATCCCATAAAATTGCAATCAGTCAATAACAAATGGTTACACAACAAGAGCTTCTTCTCCAGACGTTCTCCAGTTTCCATGACCAGCTCCTTCACGCTTGAAGTCACCCTTAACCTAAAGATAAACTTAAGCGTATGAGACAATGCAGCAACTAAAACAAAAACTGAATGATAGTAAAAGAGACCCTCTCCCAGTTCCATTACGACGCTCAAATTTCCTTCGAGGACGTTCACCTACAGAAGCTTCATAACTGGATCCACCACGTCGACTACCATATCCACCACTACGTCTCTCATAAGAAGAATTTGACATGTCACCTTCCTCAGAGGCTTATTGCATCCCCTGAATATACATTGTTACCTCCAAGACCATCACCGCCTCTAAAATCACGTTGTAACCACCACGGCTAAATCTGCCACGTCCACCACCGCGTGGAGCATCACTCCTAGCCTCTCTCACTAGTTAAGAAACCAATCAAATACCAATACAAGATTTCATTAATCCTCAAGAGAATCAAGATAACTATTCAAACAATATACTAAAAATTGAATAGATATGAGAGTTCTATAATTTTGTTAGCTTAATAATCAAGAGATTCTCACCAGCTTGAGGAGGAGGAAGCTGCTTCGGTGGAGGAGCTGACTTAATAAACATGGCGGAAACGGGTCCAGATTTCTTGGACTTATCAGTATCAACAATATGGAGATGGCGAGCTGGCTAGGATCCTCAGCATCGTCACCCAACAGATCAAAAGGATTCAAAATTTCCATATCTTTATATCACAACTAACCCTATGCTTTTCCTTCCTCCAAAATTATTACACAACTAGTAATTAAGTAAAGCCATGGAGAGAAAGTTTCACGAGAAAGAAGATCCCAAAGGGATTTGATTTATGTTACTAATCTCTCTCAAGTGTACAAAGTACAGAAGATGAAATTTATATATAAGCTTTACTAAACCAAATACAATAACCAATCTAAGCCAGAATAAACCAGAGAAATTTAATTTATAATATTCTCTCTCAAGATGGAAGTACTCCATCTTGGACTTTGACATGTTCATGTACTTCTTGAACTCCACGGAGACATCTCAACAGGAGGTGTGTGAATGCTAAGTCCGATCACCACAATAGTGCTCCTTTCCTTTGTATTTCTATGAGTTGCAGAATCAGAAAGCTTGTAACGAGCTCTTCGGTTTGCACCACACCTGCTTTTACCGTTCTTTATATGTTGATGTAGTAGGCTTTGTATCAACAATAACGCATGTGTTGCATACAAGGAAAACACAACATCACTCTGAATCTTCCTTATGCGACAACCATCAATAATAAATAGAGAAAACTTCAAGCAAAATCTCTTTTCAACAAAAACACAATCAGCATCATGAATCTAGTAGCAACCTCTGGCCATATTTCCCCATATCTTGAAACACAACTCTGTGTACCAATTCTGACATGAAGAGCCAACCATTTTGAGATAAGGCCATTCCCCTTTATCAAACATGATAGCATCATAACCTCCATAGCAACAATGGATGGAGATTTTCATTTCCACTTGTCTCATATGTGCTGAAACATATGAGTGAAAATGTTTTATAACTGCAACCGTAGAAGATATTCTCTTCATAAGTCTCATATGTGCTTCAGCACAAGAGTCAAACTGAAGTAGGGTACGTTTATTTCACCATCCATATGACTTCTCTGGATGGAGATGAAAGTTTTGTTAATTTAGACACTAAAGTATAACTCATCTAGATGGATCATCTGGATGATTTTGAAATTTTATGCTTAATTTTGAAGTCCATCTGGATGAACCAAGTTGGACCATTTGGATCAAGATGGTTCTTCCAAAATTGTATAATATCCATTATACACCTTATATAATTCAAAAATTACAAATCTAAACATACTATTATTTTGTAACTTACAAAAAAAATAACAAAACCACATTTCCAAAAAAAAATGACAAAATCACATTTTTCCGCTAAAACCATAAAAACAGGTTTTTCCATCAAAACCGTAAAAACATGCCGTCAAAATTGCAAAAACAAGTTTTCCCATCAAAATCGCTAGAACACGTTTTCCGTTCAAAATTACAAAAAACGCATTTTTTGTCAACACCACAAAAACGAGTTTTCCCGCCATAATCGCAAAAATGCGTTTTCTCGCCAAAACCAAAAAACGTGTTTTCTCGCAAAACAACAAAAAAGCGTTTTCCCGTTAAAACCGCAAAACTGTGTTCTCCCATCAAAACCGCAAAAACGCGTTTTCCCATTAAAACAGCAAAAACTCGTTTTCCCGTCAAAACAACAAAAACGTGTTATCCCAAAAAACAACAAAAACGCGTTTTCCCGTCAAAACCGCAAAAACGCATTTTCCCGTCAAAACCGCAAAAACGCGTTTTCTCGTCAAAACCGCAAAAATGTATTTTCCCGCCATAATCGTAAAAAACGCGTTTTTTGCCAAAACTACAAAAACGCATTTTTCCGCAAAACAACAAAAACGCATTTTCCTATCAAAACCGCAAAAATGTGTTTTTCCGTCAAAACCGCAAAAATGTGTTTTCCAATCAAAACCGCAAAAACGTGTTTCCCCATCAAACCCGCAAAAACGCATTTTCTCGTCAAAACTACAAAAACGCGTTTTCCCGTCAGAACCACAAAAACGTGTTTTCCCGTCAAAACCGTAAACACATGTTTTCCCGTCAAAACCGTAAAAACATGTTATCCCGTCAAAACCGTAAAAACATGTTTTCCCGTTAAAACCGCAAATACATGTTTTCTCTTCAAGACCGCAAAAACACGTTTTCCCTTCAAAAACGCGTTTTCCCGCCAAATTTGCAAAAAATGTGTTTCCCGCCAAAACCGCAAAAACGCATTTTCCCATCAATGTTATAAAAGTTAATATAGTTATCATATGTATGATTAAATCAAAACAAGGATATTTTGGTAATTTTTTTTATTAAACTTATCTAGATGGAAATGAAAAATAGAGAAACAAACAAACAATCTAAAAAAAGTCTGGATGGACCATCTAGATGAATCATCTAGATGTATTAGCTTGATGGAGATGACCGATGGTGAAACAAACAACACC